TGCATGAATCAATTACCACCAGGATGCATGAATCAATTACAACCAGGATGCATGAATCAATTACAACCAGGATGCATGAATCAATTACAACCAGGATGCATGAATCAATTACAACCAGGATGCATGAATCAATTACAACCAGGATGCATGAATCAATTACAACCAGGATGCATGAACCAATTACAACCAGGATGCATGAATCAATTACAACCAGGATGCATGAATCAATTACAACCAGGATGCATGAATCAATTACAACCAGGATGCATGAATCAATTACAACCAGGATGCATGAACCAATTACAACCAGGATGCATGAATCAATTACAACCAGGATGCATGAATCAATTACAACCAGGATGCATGAATCAATTACAACCAGGATGCATGAACCAATTACAGCCAGGATGCATGAACCAATTACAACCAGGATGCATGAATCAATTACAACCAGGATGCATGAATCAATTACAACCAGGATGCATGAATCAATTACAACCAGGATGCATGAACCAATTACAACCAGGATGCATGAACCAATTACAACCAGGATGCATGAATCAATTACAACCAGGATGCATGAATCAATTACAACCAGGATGCATGAATCAATTATAACCAGGATGCATGAATCAATTACAACCAGGATGCATGAATCAATTACAACCAGGATGCATGAATCAATTACAACCAGGATGCATGAATCAATTACAACCAGGATGCATGAATCAATTACAACCAGGATGCATGAACCAATTACAACCAGGATGCATGAATCGATTACAACCAGGATGCATGAATCAATTACAACCAGGATGCATGAATCAATTACAACCAGGATGCATGAATCAATTACAACCAGGATGCATGAATCAATTACAACCAGGATGCATGAATCAATTACAACCAGGATGCATGAATCAATTACAACCAGGATGCATGAATCAATTACAACCAGGATGCATGAATCAATTACAACCAGGATGCATGAATCAATTACAACCAGGATGCATGAATCAATTACAACCAGGATGCATGAATCAATTACAACCAGGATGCATGAATCAATTACAACCAGGATGCATGAATCAATTACAACCAGGATGCATGAATCAATTACAACCAGGATGCATGAATCAATTACAACCAGGATGCATGAATCAATTACAACCAGGATGCATGAATCAATTACAACCAGGATGCATGAATCAATTACAACCAGGATGCATGAATCAATTACAACCAGGATGCATGAATCAATTACAACCAGGATGCATGAATCAATTACAACCAGGATGCATGAATCAATTACAACCAGGATGCATGAATCAATTACAACCAGGATGCATGAACCAATTACAACCAGGATGCATGAATCAGTTACAACCAGGATGCATGAATCAATTACAACCAGGATGCATGAATCAATTACAACCAGGATGCATGAATCAATTACAACCAGGATGCATGAATCAATTACAACCAGGATGCATGAATCAATTACAACCAGGATGCATGAATCAATTACAACCAGGATGCATGAATCAATTACAACCAGGATGCATGAATCAATTACAACCAGGATGCATGAATCAATTACAACCAGGATGCATGAATCAATTACAACCAGGATGCATGAATCAATTACAACCAGGATGCATGAATCAATTACAACCAGGATGCATGAATCAATTACAACCAGGATGCATGAACCAATTACAACCAGGATGCATGAATCAGTTACAACCAGGATGCATGAATCAATTACAACCAGGATGCATGAATCAATTACAACCAGGATGCATGAATCAATTACAACCAGGATGCATGAATCAATTACAACCAGGATGCATGAATCAATTACAACCAGGATGCATGAATCAATTACAACCAGGATGCATGAATCAATTACAACCAGGATGCATGAATCAATTACAACCAGGATGCATGAATCAATTACAACCAGGATGCATGAATCAATTACAACCAGGATGCATGAATCAATTACAACCAGGATGCATGAATCAATTACAACCAGGATGCATGAATCAATCACAACCAGGATGCATGAATCAATCACAACCAGGATGCATGAATCAATCACAACCAGGATGCATGAATCAATCACAACCAGGATGCATGAATCAATCACAACCAGGATGCATGAATCAATCACAACCAGGATGCATGAATCAATCACAACCAGGATGCATGAATCAATTACAACCAGGATGCATGAATCAATTACAACCAGGATGCATGAATCAATTACAACCAGGATGCATGAATCAATTACAACCAGGATGCATGAATCAATTACAACCAGGATGCATGAATCAATTACAACCAGGATGCATGAATCAATTACAACCAGGATGCATGAATCAATTACAACCAGGATGCATGAATCAATTACAACCAGGATGCATGAATCAATTACAACCAGGATGCATGAATCAATTACAACCAGGATGCATGAATCAATTACAACCAGGATGCATGAATCAATTACAACCAGGATGCATGAATCAATTACAACCAGGATGCATGAATCAATTACAACCAGGATGCATGAATCAATTACAACCAGGATGCATGAATCAATTACAACCAGGATGCATGAATCAATTACAACCAGGATGCATGAATCAATTACAACCAGGATGCATGAATCAATTACAACCAGGATGCATGAATCAATTACAACCAGGATGCATGAATCAATTACAACCAGGATGCATGAATCAATTACAACCAGGATGCATGAATCAATTACAACCAGGATGCATGAATCAATCACAACCAGGATGCATGAATCAATCACAACCAGGATGCATGAATCGATCACAACCAGGATGCATGAATCGATCACAACCAGGATGCATGAATCAATCACAACCAGGATGCATGAATCAATCACAACCAGGATGCATGAATCAATCACAACCAGGATGCATGAATCAATCACAACCAGGATGCATGAATCAATTACAACCAGGATGCATGAATCAATTACAACCAGGATGCATGAATCAATTACAACCAGGATGCATGAATCAATTACAACCAGGATGCATGAATCAATTACAACCAGGATGCATGAATCAATTACAACCAGGATGCATGAATCAATTACAACCAGGATGCATGAATCAATTACAACCAGGATGCATGAATCAATTACAACCAGGATGCATGAATCAATTACAACCAGGATGCATGAATCAATTACAACCAGGATGCATGAATCAATTACAACCAGGATGCATGAATCAATTACAACCAGGATGCATGAACCAATTACAACCAGGATGCATGAATCAGTTACAACCAGGATGCATGAATCAATTACAACCAGGATGCATGAATCAATTACAACCAGGATGCATGAATCAATTACAACCAGGATGCATGAATCAATTACAACCAGGATGCATGAATCAATTACAACCAGGATGCATGAATCAATTACAACCAGGATGCATGAATCAATTACAACCAGGATGCATGAATCAATTACAACCAGGATGCATGAATCAATTACAACCAGGATGCATGAATCAATTACAACCAGGATGCATGAATCAATTACAACCAGGATGCATGAATCAATTACAACCAGGATGCATGAATCAATTACAACCAGGATGCATGAATCAATCACAACCAGGATGCATGAATCAATCACAACCAGGATGCATGAATCAATCACAACCAGGATGCATGAATCAATCACAACCAGGATGCATGAATCAATCACAACCAGGATGCATGAATCAATCACAACCAGGATGCATGAATCAATCACAACCAGGATGCATGAATCAATTACAACCAGGATGCATGAATCAATTACAACCAGGATGCATGAATCAATTACAACCAGGATGCATGAATCAATTACAACCAGGATGCATGAATCAATTACAACCAGGATGCATGAATCAATTACAACCAGGATGCATGAATCAATTACAACCAGGATGCATGAATCAATTACAACCAGGATGCATGAATCAATTACAACCAGGATGCATGAATCAATTACAACCAGGATGCATGAATCAATTACAACCAGGATGCATGAATCAATTACAACCAGGATGCATGAATCAATTACAACCAGGATGCATGAATCAATTACAACCAGGATGCATGAACCAATTACAACCAGGATGCATGAATCAGTTACAACCAGGATGCATGAATCAATTACAACCAGGATGCATGAATCAATTACAACCAGGATGCATGAATCAATTACAACCAGGATGCATGAATCAATTACAACCAGGATGCATGAATCAATTACAACCAGGATGCATGAATCAATTACAACCAGGATGCATGAATCAATTACAACCAGGATGCATGAATCAATTACAACCAGGATGCATGAATCAATTACAACCAGGATGCATGAATCAATTACAACCAGGATGCATGAATCAATTACAACCAGGATGCATGAATCAATTACAACCAGGATGCATGAATCAATTACAACCAGGATGCATGAATCAATCACAACCAGGATGCATGAATCAATCACAACCAGGATGCATGAATCAATTACAACCAGGATGCATGAATCAATCACAACCAGGATGCATGAATCAATTACAACCAGGATGCATGAATCAATTACAACCAGGATGCATGAATCAATCACAACCAGGATGCATGAATCAATCACAACCAGGATGCATGAATCAATCACAACCAGGATGCATGAATCAATCACAACCAGGATGCATGAATCAATCACAACCAGGATGCATGAATCAATCACAACCAGGATGCATGAATCAATCACAACCAGGATGCATGAATCAATCACAACCAGGATGCATGAATCAATCACAACCAGGATGCATGAATCAATCACAACCAGGATGCATGAATCAATCACAACCAGGATGCATGAATCAATCACAACCAGGATGCATGAATCAATCACAACCAGGATGCATGAATCAATCACAACCAGGATGCATGAATCAATCACAACCAGGATGCATGAAACAGGGAGGAAGGGAGGAGGTGGGGTGGGTGAGGGTAGCAAGGAGTCCAACACAACGCACCTGGCGCCAACAGCGCGGGCGATGGCCCTGGAGGGGAGGGAGGGGAGGGCGCGGGCGAGGGCGCACATGGCGAGCTTCACAGCGGGCGGCACCACCGTGTGGCGCCACCGCCGCTGCCTGCCGCCCGCCCCCTCTCCTGTGCGCCCATGCGCCTGCCCCGCCGTGCGTGCCTCAGCAGCCCACTGCTCCGCCAGGCGCTGCAGTCGGTCCAGCGGCCCCTCCTGCTGCTCCTCTCCCCCCGCTGCCCGCCCTGCACGCCCGGCAGCAGCAGCAGCAGCAGCAGGAGCGGCAGCGGCAGCAGGGCGGTCAGAGTGCAGTGAGTGGCGCCCCTCCTCCCTCTCCTCGTCCGTCCCTCCACCGTCACTGCTCTGCCCGTCGGTGGTGTTTCCATCTGTCGTGTTATCATCAGTGGTGCTACCATCAATCGACATCTCTCCCCCATCTCCTCTCTCCTTCCCCTTCTTCTTCCCACCGCCCCGCTCCACCTGCTTGCCCCAGTTACTCCCCAGCCCATGCCGCAGCAGCGCCTTGCGAGCCCAGTGGTAGCTGTACCGGAAGCCCTCCGGCACGCCCATGTGCGGCCCCACCTGCCGGGCATAGTCCAGAATGTCATCCCACCGCACCGCCTCTCGCCCGTACCGTGCCTCCATGGCACGCACCCACGCCGCCACGGCCGCCTGCACCTGGGGGTGGGCGCCGCTGCTGTGGCGGATGCGGAAGGCGCTGTGGGCGGGCAGGGCGAGGTACACGTGGCTCTTCCTCAGGATGCGCCTCACCGCCGCCACGTCCAGCGCCGCCACTCCCGCCGCCTCCACGCCCGCCGCCGCCACTCCCCCCGCTGCCAAGCTCGCTGCCCTGCCAGCAGCAGCGGCGGTGGCAGAGGCGGCAGAGGGAGGGGCGGTGCCTTGGGGAGGGCGGGCGGCGGCGTGGAAGGCACGGTGCAGGAGGCGGTGGATGTCTTTGGGCGCCATGTCGGGGCGGGCCGCCCTCAGCATGCAGATCACTCGCTTCACCCGCAGACTGATTGCCGCCCGGTGCTTGCCCTTCCCGCCCGGCGCCCGCTTCTCCCTCCCTGCAGCAGGCTGCCTCTCCACGTGCCGCCTACCAGCATCACCACCATCACCAGCATCACCACCATCACCACCGTGGGCGTGGCCACCACTGGAGTCATCGCTGGGGGCGTCCAGGCGGAGGTCTCCTGCTGCTGCCACTGCCGCCTCCACATCCACCAACGTCCCTCCCACTGCCGCTGCACCAGCTGCTGCTGCTGCACCCCTCACCGCTGCCCCTGCTGGCGGCGCTGCCCGTCTGATTCCCTCTGCTAAATCATCCAAGTCAGACCCACCTGCTCCCTGCATGCCGGCACCCGCCTGCTCCCCGTCCACGCCAGCCTCTGCCAGTGCCAGCGCCAGCAGCTCTCGACTCGGCTGCACCGCGCGTACCGCCCTGCCTGCTGCCTTCTTCCTCGCCCGATCCCTTGCGGCGCCTCTTGCCGTGCCTGCCAGCAAGTCCACTCCTCCAGCCCATCCACCCGCCTCTGCTGCCGCCTCTCCTCCATCGCCCTCCTCGCCTGCCCCCCCACCTGCCTGCTCCCTGCCCTGCTGTGACTGCTCCTCTGACCCGCCCTCGCCCCTCCGCCGCCGCTGCAGCCTGTCGCCCCCCTCACCCCCCTCACCCCCCTCGACCCTCTCCCCCCCCTCACCGCCCTCTAGGTCGATCACCTCCCTGCCAGCAGTCAGTGACGTCTCCCGTCCTACCACCCTCATCCCTCCCTTCCACGCACCTCCCCTCCCACGCCCCCTTCCCACTACTCCCCGCCCTCCCCTCCCTCCCCTCCCTTTCCTCCCTCCCCTTCCTCCCCTCCCACCCCCACCCCTTCCATCCTCCTCACCCTCGTCCTCATCATCCTCCTCACTGCCCTCCTCATCCCCCTCTTCCCCCTCCTCCCCCTCCCCCTCCTCCTCACCACCATGCGTGCGCGCCACCAGGAGCTGGGCGCCAAAGATCTCATCAGCCAGCTCCACCAGCGACGGCTCCGCACTGCCCGCAGCGGCGGCGGCGGCAGCAGCAGGGTCGTCATTGAAGTACGCCTCCCTCTCCTCCTCCACATGCCGCTTTGAGAACCCCCACCGCTCCTGGAAGCGACACGCCCACCCAATGCTGTACCTGCAAGGGCAGGGCGAGGGTGGGCTCACTGAAAAGTGTTGAGACGCGGCAGTAAGGGGAGAGGTGAGGGCCAGATAGAGCAGAGGAAGCAGCAAGCGAAGGACACATCGCACAGTACCCCGCCTCATGGCACAGTACCCCGCCTCATGGCACAGTATCCCGCCTCATGGCACAGTACCCCGCCTCATGGCACAGTATCCCGCCTCATGGCACAGTACCCCGCCTCATGGCACAGTATCCCGCCTCATGGCACAGTACCCCGCCTCATGGCACAGTACCCCGCCTCATGGCACAGTACCCCGCCTCATGGCACAGTAACCCACCTCCCCTGCCATCAACCCTGGCAGCACCTGAAGGAGGGCGACACCCCAAACGACGGGCCCAGCTCGCGGCCCTTGGCGCAGATCTGCTGCAGCTGCACCTTGGTGGCGCCCGGGCCGCCCTTCATGTCCCTCAGCCACGCCACGAGCGCCTCCTCCAGCGCCATGCTCTCGGGCGCGCGCACCCGCTTGCTGCTGCGCTGCGCCAAGGTGGAGCTCCAGTGGGGCGCCTTGGTGAGGATGCGGCGCACGTGGGAGGGGATGAGGCGCATGTGCGGGTACTTGGCGCGGCACACACGCATGATCCCCCCCACCGTGATGCCCGGGCGCACACGCCGCAGCTCACAGATGTCGCGCTTCACACTCACGTCCACGTGCCGCCGCCGCCCGCTCCTGCTCCCTCCCCCGCCTCCCCCGCCTCCCCTGCCTCCCCCGCCTCCCCCGCCTCCCCCGCCGTGCCGCCTACTGCCGCCGCCGCCGCCTGCCTCTTCCTGCCCACCTGCGCCCCCACCTGCTGCGCCCCCCCCTGCTGCGCCCCCCCCTGCTGCGCCCCCCCCTGCTGCGCCCCCACCTGGTGCTGTGGGTGCTGCTGCGGTGGGCACCTGAGAAGCATCCGGTGTGTGCAGGGCAGCTGCTGCGCTCCCTGGTGCTGCAGCGGGCGGGTGGTGAGGCAGCATGAGATCCATGCCGCCTCCTGCCGCACCGCCTGCTGCCCCCTCAGCCCCACCCATCGAAGCAGCACCCCCAACAGCCACCCCGCCAGCACCGACACCTGCACGTGCAGCAGCAGTGGCGGCAGACGCTTGTCTGAGGGCCTCACGAGCAGCAGCCAGGCCGGCAGCATAGCCCAGCTCATAGTCCTCCTCCCCCTCCCCTCCCTCTCCCCCCCACTCCTCCCCTTCCCCTCCCCCCCCACTCCTCCCCTCCCTCTCCCCCCCACTCCCCTCCGTCTCCTTCCCAGTCCTCCTCTGCCGCTCCGACACCCTCCCCATCGTACCACTCCCCCCAAGCCCCATCCCCCCCACCGTCCACACCCACACCCACGTCGGTGCGCCCAAGCTCCTCCCCACCGCCGCCAAGCTGCCATGCGTGCTGCCGTCCACCCTCCGCCCACCCGCCTGCCGCACCACGAAACTGCCCCTCGCAGCCCCTTCCCTCCACCTGCTCTTGCTGCTCATACTGACGTTGCTGCTGCTGCTGCTGCTGCTGCTGCTGCCATTGCTCCTCCTCCTCCGGCCGCTGCTGCTGCTGCTGCTGCAGGTGGGGCAGCAGCTGGTCACGGTGCATGCGCCCTGCACCCACCATCTGCTGCCTTGCGTTTGACTCCTCGCCCCCCCCATCCCACCGCTCCCCTTCCTCCTCGCCATCACCCCCCCATGCCATCTCCACTCTCCTACCCCTCGCTACACCTCCGTACTCCTCCCAATCCACACGCCCCTGCTGCCCTTCCGCCGCTCCCAATGCCTCTCCACCACTCACCCGCCCATCGAGGTACCCCATTCCCCCGTCCGCGTCCCACCCCCTGCCGGCGTCCCCCCCTCTCATCCGCGCATTCCCACGCGCATGCGCGCCCGTCCCCGTCCAATCCTGTCCGCGCGCCACACCTGCGCCCCTCCCTCTGCGCGCCACCACCCCCCGCCCGCGACTGCCGTCCGCTTGCCCCGTTCCACCCCTCGTCCTCCCCCTCCCCGCGCCCTCGCTTACGCGTACCGTACTCCCGCCTGCTCCGCCATCCGCGCCTCTCCCCCTGCCTCCCCTGCGGCGGGATACGCGCCCCTCCGCGCCTCCCCCTGTCCATCCCTCCGCTGCATTCGCTGCTCCCCCTCCTCCACCCACCGCTCCCACTCCTCCGCCCGTCCCTCCGCCCTCCCGCGCTGCCACTGCCGCTCCGCGCACGCTTGCGCCGACCTCCGCGCCCTCCCCCACGCCCCATCCCGTTCCTCTAGCCGCGATTCTTCCTGCTTCCCCCCCATCCGCATAGCCGCCCTCCGCGCCTCCCCCAATCGCCCACCACGCCCCTGCAGTCCCCTCCGCCACCGCGCCCACCGCCTCCCCCCTCGCACTGCCTCTCCTCCCTCGTGCGCCTCCACCGCTTCTACCCCCCCTCGCCCCTTTTCTCCCCCTCCCCCTTCCCCCTCCGCCTGGCTCCATCCGGTAGCGGAGGGAGAGGCAGCGCCACGAAGCGACGCGAGGCGGTCAGCCACTGGCGGGGCTACGCGCGGGGAAGGGACTGCCGCACTGGCGGGGCTACGCGCGGGGAAGGGACTGCCGCACTGGCGGGGCTACGCGCGGGGAAGGGACTGCCGTACTGGCGGGGCTACGCGCGGGGAAGGGACTGCCGCACTGGCGGGACTACGCGCGGGGAAGGGACTGCCGCACTGGCGGGCGCAGCTCTGGCAACCGTAGCTGAGCGAAAAACGCGCTGCGCGGTCGCATTACCTCTACTCACCTCGGGCGGCTCTAGACTAACGGCTGGGCAATTACCAAGTCGCGTGGTCGCGCGGCGCAACGCGCTTCGCGTGGCGAGGAAGCGGGAAAGCCTGGGTGGTGTGGGGCTGGTGGGACACGGGTGACCGCTGGCTCTCCGTTGCGCGCCACGTGGATGCTTCGGCATACCAGAGAAAGAGAAAAGGCCTATTGGACGATTCAGACAAGCACGGAACGGATGTACTATTCTTTGAAATCTGATGGAAAATGAAGTGCACTTCATCTCGTGTCAGAAACGTGCGAAAACGAAAAATCCGCTTTACAAAATGGGGACGGGCAGGGGCAAAGTGCTACAGCTCAAAGGTAGGACGGCGTGAACCTTACACAAACATCCATTCTTGAAGAACATTTATATCTCACAAAGAATAATTGGTTATCTTTGCCGTTGACCAACGCCCTAATGGACAAAATGCATCTCAATGGGTCGACCTGTCAATGAACACTCATACGTTTGCGCACTTCGTTAGGCTAAGTTGAGTTGGTCTATAGATGGTATAGTTTGTTGTTGCAACCGAATGATTGAAGTGGATATGATAAGTCTGCTGAGTTAAGAGAAAAAATATGTCCTGATAGTGACCTTGTTAATAATAGTTCAAAGAAAACAAGATGATTGTAAGATAGGTATACAGATGTATAAATAGCAAACTAGCTAGCCATGTACTCTGAGGGGTACATTCCTTTATTAACTGAATTACATTGCTAGAGTAACCACGATTATTGCTCTTCTTAACATTTACCATGTTGCACCCTGTAACTACCAAGTGCGGTTACTGGACGGTCAAGATTCACGACCGTTGACTGTCTTTCGATTGTTGACCTTAGGGTGACTCTCGATCTTCCGCATGCTCTATAGGAGCTATTGCGGTATTGGTACAGACGCGTTGCTTCGTTATTGTGTGACGCGTGGGTGGAGAGCCTTTGGGAATGTTACGATAACCTTTTCAGTTATTCCAACACTCCCTTTCATTCCTGAAGGTGAGCCACGTAGGATTTCTTCGAGATCCCGCAGAGGTCGGTGCAGTGCTACAACTTCTGACGTGACAGCTTCTTGGTCAAGAAGTCTGCTGCCATGTCACCAGTTGGGCAGTACTTTAGTTTGACCTTGCCTTTGTCGATTTCGTCCTTGACGAAAAAATAACGGAGTGCGATGTGTTTCGTGCGGTTCACAAAGCCGGGCTTGTTCGCGATCTTGATCGCGCTCTAATTGATGCAGCGTAACGACAAGTGGCCGTTCATCGTCACTTTCGCTTCCTACAGTAGCTCCATCATGTACAGTCCTTCGCGAACAACTGCACTGGCGGCGATGAACTCAGCTTCGGCTGACTAAAGCGCGATGAGTCCCTCCTTCTGGGAATTCCAAGATTTGAGGCCAGCAGGTTGGTGTCGAACTTATATGCTATAGTCTTTCTAGGCTGTAGTGGGGTAGACAGTATGGGGTACAGCTTTCTAGGGTTTCATATTTGTACCCAACTCATTTCCTAGTTCATTCATTCCTCATTTCTTCACATGGTATAGAGCAGGTTCCCTAGTGGGAACTTTTCCTTGGGCCCACCACTAAATTTTTTTTTTTTTCTGCCCTGAGATCGAGTCGCCCCTGGCCGAGGCGCGTCCTGTGGGCCGCCCTCCCCTTCGCGGCCCGTCGCGCCGCCCTTAGCGGCCCCACTCACGGCCCCGTCGCCACCCTTAGCGGCCCCGTCGCCGCCCCTTGCGGCCTGGCCACCCTCTCGCGGCCCCGTCGCCGCCTCCGCGGCCCACCCGCCGCCCTTTCGCGGACCCGTCGCCGCCCTCCAAGCGGCCTCGTCGCCGCCCTCTAGCGGCCCCGCCGCCGCCCTTCAGCGGCCCCGTCGCCCCCCCACTGCGACCCCGTCGCCGCCCTCTAGCGGCCCCGCCGCCGCCCTTCAGCGGCCCCGTCGCCGCCCCACTGCGGCCCCGTCGTCGCCCTCTAGCGGCCCCGCCGCCGCCCCTCAGCGGCCCCGTCGCCGCCCTACCGCGGCCCCGTCGCCGCCCTCTAGCGGCCCCGCCGCCGCCCTTCAGCGGCCCCGTCGCCGCCCTACAAGCGGCCCCGTCGCCGCCCTCTAGCGGCCCCGCCGCCGCCCTTCAGCGGCCCCGTCGCCGCCCTACAGCGGCCCAGTCGCCGCCCTCCAGCGGCCCCATCGCCGCCCTCCAGCGGCCCCTTCGCCGCTCTGTGCGGCCCCTCACCGGCCCTGCCGCCGCCGTCGCTGAGCCGCCGCAGCTGCAGCCGCCACCGAGCCGCCGCGTCGCCGCCGAGCCGCCGGGCCGCCGCCGAGCCGCCGAGCCGCCGCCGAGCCGCCGAGCCGCTGCTGAGCCGCCGAGCCGCCGCCGCCGCAGCTGCGGCCCTGTTCCTGCCGGCGCGCCCCGGCCCTCCCCACCCGGACTGCCGCCCCTGCAGCAGCCGCCCCTGCAGCAGCCGCCCCTGGAGCAGCCGCCCCTGCAGCTGCCGCGGAGCCCTCGCCCTGCAGTGGTCGCGGCCTCGCCATTGCCGCCGTCGTACGCCTGCCCTTCTCGCCACTGGTGAGCACTACCCTGCCCGTACTGCTGTTACTGCTGCTCTTGCTGCTACTGCTCTTTCTACTGCTACTGCTACTCCTGGCGTGGCCCGATGCAGCTCCAGCGCCGTCCGTGTGAGTCCCTCGCTCCCCAACAGCTTCGTGAGTGGTACGCTAGTTGGGGTTGTAGGGGTGGCCGCGCTGCGACTACAGCTATTGCTACTGCTGCTACTACTGCGGCTACCACTGCTCCTGCTGCTCCTGGCGGTGGCCAGATGCAGCTCCAGCGACGTCCGCGTGAGTCCCTCACGCCCCAGCAGCTTCGTGAGTGGTACGCTACTAAGGGTTGTCGGGGTGGCCGTAGTGGGAGTCGTCCTGGAGTGCGTAGTTCGGCAGCTGCTTGAAGTGGCCAGGTGCAGCTGCAGCGCCGTCCGTGCGCGGTCCTTTCACCCCAGCAGCTTCGTGAGTGGTACGCTCAGCGTGACGGATCACGGGGTACTGCTCGCTGTCCGTACGTCATTCGCACTGGTGCTCGGACTGGTCAGCCTTGCGGGACGTTTGGTCACGCAGAGTCCCGCTGCTTCGCCCGTCTGAGTGACGCCTGGCGTACGGAGTTTGGCGACGCGGCTGAGCTCCCCGACTGGGTGGAGCTGCTTAGGCTGAAGGTAGATATCTATACTCTTGACTATGATACTATCCTCACTGCCATGTATGCATTGCCTACTAGTGATGAGGGTGACTGTTACCTGTGTGTTCCGCCTGACCCGGGCATTGAGGCTGCTGCTCTAGGTGCTGGTGAGGCTGCTGCTCTAGGTGCTAGTGAGTCTACTGCCCCAGGTGCTGGTGAGTCTGCTCTCTCAGGTACCACGTCGGCTCAGGCCTCCCACACCTTCACCCTTGACTCGAGTGCTTCCCGCTCCTTCTTTCGAGACCGCACCACACTCACGCCGCTTAGTCGGCCAGTTGCGGTCTCCCTGGCAGACCCCTCTGGGGGTCCTTTCCTTGCCCACTTCTCCACTGTTCTACCGTGTCCGGCGGCCCCTTCTGGCACCCTGTCGGGTCTTTACCTCCCCTCGTTCTCTACGAACTTGGTGAGTGGTGCTGACCTCCAGGATGGAGGGGTTCACCAGTTCACTCCTGCGAGTCAGCGAGTGACCCACTGTACCTGTGCTCGGACGGGCCGTCACTTGGCCACGTTTACCCGTCAGCCGGGGTCGAGCCTGTACACACTGACTACTGAGTCTCCTCCGGTCGCTGAGTCTGCTCAGGTAGCGGCGTCGGGTCAGGTGTTTGCTGCGGCGTCCAGGTCTGGTCCTGAGTCTGCCCCCTGCTCGTGTCGTCTCCTGTCTCACCAGACTCTCCTCTGGCACCACCGCCTTGGTCACCCCTCCCTGCCCCGTCTTCGAGGCATGGCCTCCCGTGTCCTTGTCTCTGGTCTCCCCCGGTCCCTCCCTCCCCTTCCTCCGGGGCCTGCCCCCACCTGCGTTCCCTGCGTCGAGGGGCGGCAGCGCGCTGCTCCTCACTCCTCCGAGTTTCCTCCGACAGAGGCTCCGCTGCAGACGCTTCACATGGACGTGTGGGGCCCAGCCCGCGTCCGTGGACAGGGTCACGAGCGTTACTTCCTGCTGGTGGTTGACGACTACTCGCGTTACACCGCAGTCTTCCCCTTGCGCAGCAAGGGTGAGGTCACTGAGGTGTTGATCGCCTGGATCCACGCAGCTCGTCTCCAGCTCAGAGAGAGTTTCGGCTCGGACTTTCCTGTTCTGCGTCTGCACTCTGACAGAGGCGGAGAGTTCTCCTCTGACCTTCTGCGAGCCTTCTGTCGTGCACGAGGCATCCGCCAGACCTTCACGCTTCCGGACTCTCAGCAGCAAAATGGGATTGCTGAGCGCCGCATTGGCATGGTCATGGACGTCGCTCGTACGTCCATGGTCCATGCGGCTGCCCCCCATTTTCTGTGGCCGTTTGCGGTTCGGTACGCGGCGCATCAGATCAACCTTCAGCCCCGGGTCTCCATGCCGGAGACCTCCCCTGCTTTGCTGTGGATGGGGAAGGTTGGCGATGCGTCTGCGTTCCGTGTCTGGGGATCTCGGGCGTTTGTCCGTGACTTGTCTGTTCCCTGCGTCTTCCTTGGCTTCCCCCCTGACGCGCCGGGCT